ATTTTTATGTGGATTATAAGCCAGAGTTTCCACCTTCTTACGTTGACTGTCATTTTATAATTTTGTAGAACTAAGAGGCCATTATCGAAGCAAAACTGTTTAGTGGTTTTGGCCAGATGGCTTTACGCAATTATTGTTCACCAACCAACCCATTGTGCATCGGCAGAGGGGCAGGGGCAGTGGCAGTGGCAGAGGCAGCGCTGCCGAGATCGTGTGCGTGTGTACTTTAATGTTATTTAAATACATAATAAATCCGTTATTTAAATTCCAAATGCTTCGGCAGGCAAACAAAACAAAAATGCTAACAGGCTTCGTTTTCGTTGGGTTGTCGCAAAACAGGGTCGCCGAGCCACGGTCGCAGTCCCTTGAAGTACCAACGAAACGAATCATTGAAAAACAGCAATAGCAGCAGCAACAAAAACAACAACAACAACAAGAACAAGAACAGCAGGAGCAACAACAATAATAACAACTTGCCAACTTTGACGTTGGCATTGATGGCACGTCGGCCTCGTGCCCTTTTTGCGACCGTACTTGCCGGTTGGGCCACAGTGCGAGTACTTAACAAAAAAAAAAAAAGAAAAAAAAAACTGGGAGAAAAAGTCTGTCAGCGTTTCGAGCGTTTTGGCAGAGCTTATTGTGCTTGTTTGTGCGTGTGTGTGTGTGTGTGTGTGTGTGTGTGTGTGTCTGTGTGTATTTGTGGGCATCCCAAGCGTTTTGCTAATAAACTTTATTGAAAACGCACACACACACACACACACACACACATACAGCCGGCTGTGTGGGCCAGCTTTGCAACAATATCATTTGTGAGCCCAAAAAAAGAAATTTAAATGAGGCAGTCACGGCGCACGGAGACCGAAAACGGAATTGAGGCTTCAAGCTTTTCGTCAAAGTGGAATCCAGTGTTGACGTTGCTGAGGTTAGTCCACAGTTCAACATCTGTATAAGGCACTTCCTGTTTGCTAATTTACTTCACACGCCTTTAAAGCAGTAAGTCACGAACAGTCTTAAGGCAAACCATTATACTTGTATAGAAATCAAAGGAAATAACAATTGCTCTACAGTATATGCTTTATTTTTCATAATTTTTGATCAGCTCTATAAATATATCAAAAGTATAACAACCTATTATGGATGGGCAGGTAAAGGTAGCTAAAGACGGATATACAAATAAATAATGCTAGAAAGCCTATCATAGAAGCATCTTGTTATTTGAAAAATAAAGCTGGCTATGTCAGAAGGATATTCGTGTACAAAATAAAATGAATGCGAATAGGAATTCAACTTTTATTGTACGAGTATTTTTTTTTTTTTTTGAGTTCTATGGGTCTTGTAAATATATTCCAAACAAAAATGTTAGCATACATGTAAGATATTGTTGATCTGGGTAGCTGGAAACCTTAATAGGCTAGTTTATGAGAAGAAGTCATCGCGAAAAGCAGTTAAAAAAATTGCCAAGCCATCACTCAGTTGTTGATGATTAAGTTAAATAAGCAATATCTTAATTACTCTTTTTCAGTATTTTTTTGTATGTATAGTATAAAAAATGCTTATAATAATAAACTTTATACATATATACATGAGTCCATTTTTGTTTGGAAATGTTGTTGCTGGCTTGCCAAACGGAATAATTCGACCTATAAGTGGGGGAAAATAATCACCGAAGCTCAAAGCAATTATATACGTGTATCTCTATATAGCTTCTACAACATCAACTAAAAAGAAAGAAAGAAGGTCCAAATATACTTGTCTTTTCTTAAGTTTATGCTTTATTGTCATGTCGGCTAGGAATGCACGAATATACTTTTTGGGTCTGCCACAAATCCGTTTGGATGTTACCAAAAATAGACAAATTTTATAATTCCCTTTTCTTCTTCCATATTTGTGAACAGAAATTACAGTTAATCGTACACTTCTTTTACTTCTCACTGCTCTTCTTTATCATCTAAAGTACTTTCTGCGCCTTAAACGTAAACTTCGACAGCCTTGACAGTCTCATGGACCTTTAACTCTGGTTGTTTTTTATGGAAACCTGCATTTCATTGGCGACTTCTATTGTGGTTCATTATTTTCTTCTCTATGATGTCTTTTTAAAGTAGCCACAAAATGTGTCGAATTTGTTTCGGGCTGCTCTTTTTTTTATTGTTATTTCCAAATTTATTCAAATATGCTACGTATTTTGGCTTAACAATAAATTTGAAAAAAGCCTTAATGCTGATCTCTTGAGATACATAGTTTTTAAGACAATATACGAGGATAAAACAACTTGTCAGATGTTCCAGCTAATAGCAGTAGCACAATTAGTTGTTGTTAAACAAGAGCTATTTTTGTAGGATTTGTTTTTGTTGAGATTGCGTTGGCTGGCTTGATGGTGTGACCAAATTACTGAAAAAAGTTCGCCTTAGGAGCATTCGACTGTGCACGGACAAAGTTCGAATTGTGTGTGGTCAGCGCTATTTGTTAATTACATGACCTATTTTTATGTTGATGAAGTATTGCAAAAGTTTATCATGTGGAGTGCCGAAAATTGAATGGAATCACAGCAATGCTGTGGCCTATTAATAGCGCTCATTATTGACGCAACAAACCAAAAGCAGTATCAGCAAAAACACAAACACACACACACATACATGTGGGTGACAGACAGACTTTTATTGTTGGAATCAATATTGGCGCGTCGCCTACATGTATGATTTTTTTTTAACTTAGTAAATATTTAGAAAAAAATTAGCTTTACTATGAAATAAGTAACCACCATAAAGATATGTACTATGTATAACAGTAATAAAACACATTTTTATTCTGTTTTTATTCTATTATTAACATATTCCATGTTTTTATCACAGATAACATTTGCATCATTTTTGAGGCAAAAGATTTCCATCAACAATTTGCATTCTTCTCGCATTATAATATATTCTTAAATGTTGTTAATGCTATTAAGTGGTGTCAGTATTAGAAGTGCTTTAAATATACATAGCTTAGGATTGTTTGAGTCGAAAAATTGTTTCTTTAGTCTCCCATTGGGTAAAGAATAAATGTTATTATAACAAAATAACTGAAACAAATGCTACTAACAATTACATTTTAATCGAAAAATAATAGGTTTAAAGTCATCAGAAGCTCAGAAAATGATTGGTGAAACTTGGAATGGCTTCTGCATTTTTAAATTCTGTATTTCAAAATATATTCCTGCTACCTAAAACATTCAATTGTACGCGTTTGTATATACGAGTATATGTAGTACATACTTAATGCCATTACCCAACCATTACCCAATTCTCTGATAAAGAAGTTGTAATGTAAAAACAAACATCTATCCCTCATTTTGGTTGCTTCGCCGCATTCTTTCTGGTGTTTTTCCTAATGTTTGTGTTTGGCTGAAATCGTTATGTAACAGCTGTGACTGTTTCAAAGGCCGTTCTTTTTGATATTTCCTATTACGTTTGCACTTAAAGTGCTTGGAAGCTAAAGCAAATCAGTACACACGCAGACACACAGATACACACACACACACACACACACACAGACACAGACACAGAAAGGAGTGACCCACCCAATCAGCTTTGAGCCGCCTGCCGGGAACGGCAACGGCGCCTATTGTTATGCCACAGCAGCAACAAAAAGGCGAAAACAACAGGAAAATGGAAAAGCGCGTATGTGCACAAAAAAAGGGTTCAGTGTCGTCCATGCCAAGCCGTCGCTTTCAATTCAATTAATTGTAACATTTTCATTTCGCCAAGGAAGCCAATGGCGGCGGCAAGCATTTGCGCATTGTTTTGTGTTGATTTTATTGCGCGTTAGCTCCTTTCGTATACCCTGCACTGCTGTAAGGGAAAAGCTGTATGGTGGTTAGCCGGAAAGTTTGCAATACCTAGAAGCAGGCAAGGGGGACTTAATGGCGATTCTAATATCTTTTGCCATCTAGCAATGTTGACTTATAAGTTGAAGACAATGATGTGTATATATTTGATTTGTAGACTTTTAATCTGTAGACATCTCATGTACAAGTATAGACATCTGATGTGCAGATATTTGATGTGTAGAAATTTAAACTGTAAGGATCTAATGTGTAGATAATTGCTGATCTGTAGACATTTAATGTGTAGGCATCTACTGTGTAGATATCTGAGTGGAAAATCTCCTCTCCGAAGTTGCAGAAAAGAGTCTCACTTCCAACCAGAACTAGCACTACATTATTCTACCTAATGATACGGATAATCAGGGTAAATGATTAATATAAAAAAGTTTAATAAAGATGAGTAATCAGTAAAGTCGAGAATTTTTAAACTTTTTTTGATTTTTTTCATTCATAATATTATTTTTTTTAAAATCTTTTTTCTTTATTTAAGATCTGTCCCAAGGAGGACAGCTATTAAATTTTATGGAAGCATTTGAGTGGTTTAATCATTCATAATATTAATTTTTTTTAACATTTATTATTTAGAAATTATTTTAGAAATTAATTTGTAAACTCATTTAAGGGAATTAAATTTATGACTTTTAAATATTCTGTTGAATTTATTTACCTATTACTTTTATTTTAATTTAAACATTTCTTATTACTTCAATTAAAGAAATCAATTGTATTTATTGTAGTTCTGTTTCCATTCAACATTTCATGAATTGGAATTATATTTGACATGCTGCTGGCATATACATTAAATCGAATTGGCCAACGAAACTGAACAGTAAACTGTTACAAAGAGATTTGTTCTTTCACAACCAACATCTGTGACGACTTGCTTTATATATCCATGAAGTTCACTCTTGACATATGAGCTTTCTGTGTAGGGCAGTGTTGGGCCTATAATGTATTGAAGGCGGCGTTTTCTGTATTATTTATGAAGCAATTATTTATATTTTACGACAAATACGAGTACGAATAAGCGTGGCAGCTGTGCGATTATGAAATGAATTAAATACATCTGAAATACTAAGTAAATACCCAACCAATCGAGCAAAGCCTTATTTTTAAATGATTGGAAACTATTGTGTTATTTTTTATGCATTTATTGGCAAAAAAAAATTCATAAAAATAGAAATCGAACTTAATACAAAGCCTTCTCAATGCGCAAAAGGGTCACCGAACTGAACTCAAAGGGTCCATAGCCATTGAAGTGGAGCTTGTAATAGCCCTCGGGCATGAAGGCTGGAAACTGTTCGGTGCTCAACTGGCACTTGGTGATATTAAATGTGGCAGGTCCGACATGCTCCAAAGTATCATTGAATTGGGGCAAATCGGAGCACTCGGCCACACTGGCCATTACCATTTTCTTGTAGTAGTTGTTAATGGCCTGGAATATAGATTGACGGTCGATCTGAAGGGGCTGTAGCTTGTACTCGGAGCTGCCATCGGCACTACGATATACCAATATCTCGATCTCTGTTTCGTTTGTCAGATCAACACCCAAGATGACTTTGCCCGAGAGCCCATATTCGCCGCGTCCCAAACGATCGATATGCAAATCAAGTTTCAATTTACTGTCGTCTGAACTCTCGTAGGTAATATCCATCAATGTGTAGGTCCAGGTTCTCTGCAATGAAAAAGAGACGACCTTTTAGATGAGTGTGACATTTCGACCTCTATGCCTAACCATTGTTGTTGCACTTCGACAGAGCAGCCATATCGCCAATAACAGCAAATAAGCACAATTGTTTCTTAATATTGACATTTAATTGACAGGTGCAGTTGTTTGTTGGAGTCCCCCTGCATCAATTCTATATCTGCTGGAAATGTCGGCTGAGAAGAGCGCATTTATACAACAATAATGAATGCCGTTGGCAGATGTTTCAACTGACAGTTCATGCGATTTTCATGTTTCAATAAATCAGCTCACATCGCCTTGTTAGTTCCGCTCGTCAACATTTCTGTGTGTTTGTGTTCTGTGGCAAGTAAGTGGGGAGAAGAGGCCGTGCATGCTAATGACATTTGAATTTGTCAAGTGCATTTAATTTGTTGTGCACGATTGTGCTCAACTTTTTCAGATCATCAACACACAGTCTGTTACAAAAGCAACATCATACAAATACATTGTATGTAACGGCCGAGCTTGAAAAATCGTCAAAAAATCATCTTTTACTTACGTACTAATCCTATTCAAATATTCATGCTTTGTTTGGCACTTTTTTGAAGCCTTTAATTTAAATTCGAAATTCCAAGAATTACGGGAGTTACGATTTGTGAGGGAGAGGGGGAAGGGAGGAAAATTCCAAAATATACATTTTCTGCGTATTCACATAAGGCATCTTGGACTAAAATTTTGTTCCTAGGTCTTATAGTCTCCGAGATATAGGCGATTATACGAATGGAAAATTGGGAAAACCCCTATAGGGGTGAAGTGGGGGAGGGGGGGGGGGGGGGGGTAAATCAAAAAAAATAAAACAAACTCGTATAGCGTACACACATAAGACATCTTTGGTGTCTCTATCTCTTATAGTCTCTGAAATCCAGGTGTTCATACGGACGGACAGGCGGACAGACAGACGGACAGACAGACAGAGCTAGATCGACTCGTCTCGTCATGCTGATCAAGAATACATATACTTTGTGGGGTCTGCCACGCCTCCTTCTGTCTGTTACATTTTTCAGCTCCCGCAATTCTAATATACTTCTGTACATTTCATGTACAGAGTATAAAAAGTCGACTAGCTCTACGAAATATTTCCATTGCTTAAAAAAAGTGTGTCTGTTTGCTGATTTTGTAAGCTACTTAATTTTGTCAAAAAGGAAGAAGTGCTCTTTAGTGCTCCTAGATAGATAATTTTGCAAATATATAAAACGTTATAATTTTTAAAAGACTATAATTTTTATACCCTGTACCCAAAGGGTACAAGGGTATATTAGTTTTGTGCGAGTGCACATGGAACACACAGAAGGAGGCTTGGTAGACCCCACAAAGTATATATATTCTTGATCAGCATGACAAGCCGAGTCGATGTAGCCATGTCCGTCTGTCCGTCTGTCTGTCTGTATGAACGCAAGGATCTCCGAAAGTATAAGAGCTAGAATAACCGAACTTGGTATACAGATTCTCCTGAGACCGAGAAAGGACGAGTTTGTTCATTTTTTCTGATCCACCCCCCCACTCCCCCCCTATTAACGATTTTCTTTAACTCCCGTAATTCTTGGAATTTTGAACTAAAATTTGGTAGACACATCCAATTATATATCCGTATACCAAGTTTCATTATGATAGAATTATTGGAAAGAAAGTTGTAGCCATATAACCAGGCCCAATGCACACATACATACATATGTGCAAGTACACAAACACGCATAAGGCACGATTCTGATGGAAATGTAAATGTATGTATGCATGCATGGAATATTTTATATTTAATTAATTAAATTAATTTAGTTAATTAATTAAATTAAATTAATTAATTAATTTAATTACTTTTTTGTGGGGTGGTACAGGGTATTTAAGAGTTGAGCCTGCTCGACTTTAGCATTCCTTTCTTGTTTCATTACAATTAAATTCATTTTGTATCAAATTAAATTAAATTAATTATTAACAAGAGAGAACGCTACAGTCGAGCAAGCCCGACAGTGTAATACCCTGTACCCAGGTAAACTTCCGTCACTGAGTTATATGCGCCCATAGCAGCAGCAAAAAGAGGAAGAAGAAGAGCGAACTTGTTGCTGCAGTTTGGGGGGGTTGCACTGGAGAGAATTTGTTTTGCTAATAACTTTTCTTAGAATTGACCGAATTGAATAAAATTTTGAACAACAGTAGACAATTATGTATAAATTATGTGTGCAAAGTTTGAAATGTTTGAAATGTGGACGCTATTGACGAAATTCTGTAGCGGGGGAAGGGGGGGAAAATTCCAAAAAATAAAATAAACTCGTCCTTTCTCGGACCTAGGAGAATCTGGATGCCAACTTTGGTTATTCTAGCTTTTATAGTTTCTGAGATCCTCGCGTTCATCCAGACGGACGGACAGACGGACGGACGGACATGTCTAGATCGATTTCTCTCGTCATGCTGACCAAGAATATATATACTTTATGGGGTCGGAGATGCTTCCTTCTGTATGTTACATACTTTGCACAAACCTAATATACCCTTTTTACCCTACGGGTACAGGGTATAAAAAGCGGATTTTATCATAAATTCCGCTTCAATTCATTGCTGTTATAGACTTACAAAGGATTTGTTGAAAGAAATAAATAAAATATTTCGAAAATACAGAATGCAAATAATGATGTATTATTTAAAACCAACGGGAATATATAAATTTATCTACCTGGTACAGTAATGGAGAATTGAAGAGAACTTTTTACTTTTTGACAAAAATAAGTATTTTACAAAATCAGCAATGGAAATAATTCGTAAAGCTAGTTTTTTTTTTTTTTTTTTTGGGTAAAAAATTACTTCATTTCTCTTCAATTCATTGTTGTTATAGACCTACAACGGATTTGTTAAGTCGTATTTTAAAAATTAAACAAAACTCGATATTATCAACTTTCTTAACTTTTCTATACTTAAGCAAAGTAAATTTAATGCAGAGTCGAGCCATAACTAATCAAAGTATACCCAAGTCAAGGAAGCGCTGGGTGGTGTATGTTTTGAGAAACCCTAACAATCATTGTTGCTGTTTGTAGCCCATTTGTACAGAAACATATGTCCAGAAATGTATTTCCCACCCACTAACTTCAACGTGATTCTGACAAATACGGGTATGTTGCATGTTGGCAGATAGACCTTTAACTATGTTATTCCCGACCTACCGCTCAATTGTTATCAAATTAATTGTGTAGTGATAATGATTGGATGGCATAAATCATGTCAAATATGGGGTACTTCTCAAATGTTTCAGTTCCATTCAAGTCGAAAAGCAAACTTAATTGGCATTTGTATCTACAGAAGAGATAGACAACATTTGACCGTACTTCTATTGCCAGTTAAATATTGTAGTAATATTAATCAGTGCTCTCTTGTGAGGCATAATATGTTGTTGGAAAAAATTAAAATTACGTTAATAAGTACCTTTAATAAATGCAAAACAAAGTGAACAAAAGGATTACCAATCCGCATAAAAAACTATAAAATTTTCATTTTCATCGAAAAGTTACATCTAAGCCAAAAAAAAGTGGTGAAAGGTTATAACGTTTTAATTACATACCAGCCGCCAATAAATATGCATTGTTTGGAAGTATAGGAAGAAAAAAATGATTATTATCAGTCGGACAACCAGAGTGTGCTATAAGGATGAAAATAAAAAACCAAAACAACTTTTTTTTTTTAGATTTTAATGCGGCTTTAAAATATGAATTTTTATCATAAACTTTCTTTGTTCTGCCAAACTAGCATATTTTTATACTCTGTACATGAAATGTACAAGAGTATATTAGGTTTGCGAATTGAAAAATGTAACAGACAGAAGGCATGACAAAACGAGTCCATCTAGCTCTGTCTGTCTGTCTGTCCGCCTGTCTGTCTGTATGAACACCTGGATCTCAGAGAATATAAGAGCTAGAGACACCAAATTTTGCACAATGATTGTTTTATTTTTTTTGATTCCCCCCTTCCCCCTATGGGGGATTACCGGAAACGCCGTTTACATTTTTCAGCTCGCGCAAACCCAATGTACATTTCATGTACAGAGTACAAAAATCTTAAGTACATTTATGTACTCTTAATAATATTAACTATATAATATTACTGCGAATAAAAAATAATGAAAATATTCTTAAAACAAATTAATTTTCAAAAATAATGCAAAAATGAAACTTTTAATTCAAAATAAAACTTTTAAATTAAATTTTAATTACAATATAATCAAATTTAATAAAAACATAAAAATTATAAATTGTATATGTATAATCATAAGCTTTTTTATGATTCCAAATATGCGAAATTATGTTGGCGAAATATTTGCAAAATAAGCGAAACGAAATTGTTCAATTTAAAAGAGGTGCACAAATGTTTATTTTGCATAGGTAGCGATCGCCGAGATTTACAAAGTTTATGCTGGTAGACGGAAAGCTAAGCTTCTCCGTACCAGATGCGATAACGAAAAACGAACTTGACTTGCAGAGTTAGCGACAATAACTAGTACATATGTGGCGGCTGCGCAGCAGCCTATGCAAATTTATGGCAACAAAAGGAAACGTTAAGTGCTCGGCTTGCTATGCAAAGCAAGCGACAAGAAAACGAGCACTTTGCATTGAGTTATTTACGTTACTTATTAACTATGATGTGCTGCTGGTTTTGGCTGTTTTTGGCCGGATGACCAAACATACTCCCCCTGTTGAAGAACCAGGGTCTTCAACAACATCTTGTTTCGGCAGCGGGCATAATTTGCGAACGGCTCGCCGAATGGTTCCAGTGGAAGTCCTCAATTCTGCAACTCTCGACACGCCATCTGCGCCGCTGATGAGGCTGACCACCCTTGCTAATGGCCATTTGAGGGGCGGCAAATTCTCGTCCTTGACCAGAACGACATCATCAATGGAGAGTCCAGGCTGCGACACTCGCCATTTTGAGCGCTGTTGAAGAAGCGTCAAGTATTCTTCACGCCAGCGAGCCCAAAATATCTGCTGGTAGTACGTCACGCGCTGCCATCGATCCAGCCGATTGAAATTGAGCTTCGTCAGATCAGGCTCAACGTACGTTGACAGCGGAGCAGCACCAAGAAAATGAGCTGGAGTCAAGACATCGAGATCTGCTGGATGTTCTGAAAGGGATAACAATG